TTTCCCAGGCGTCTTGCAGCCAAGCATCTTGATTAGCACTTTCACTGAGATAGGCACACGGGAAAGAGAGTTATTCACATGTCTTCCTGCCCCTCAACCTGGGAAAGGTCAAATGACGTGGCTGACGTGAAGCCAGGCCACTGGGAAACCGGAAAAGGCCACTGGGAAATTGGAAAAGAATACTGGGATATCGGAAAAGGCCCGACAAAACAGACTGGCTAATGTACCAGATAAGGGATCAAAGGTTGGAGTTCGTGGGCTTTGGCTTCTGTTTCTTTCCTTAAAATGACTGCTCGGTAAGTATTATTTTTGTTTATTCACATGGGGCAGATGTTTCAGTTGGGCTGGCCTGATCCCTTTGCTAATGACATCTTTGAACATGCATGGTCAGTCTGCACTGTCCCCGCTCGGAGCCTCGCAGGCCATGGGGATGAGCCAGCCTAGAGCTTGGCCTCTACACCAGGCTCCAAATAGCCCCACCCTGGAGGGTCCTTCCCAAACGGCCCAGGCCAGCTCTCAGGGCCTGCACGAGCCTTTTCTTCCAGGGCACCCTCCTGAAAACGGGCTGCTGTCATAGACACCCCAGCCCGAGGACCCACAGGGGGGTGGCTGCAGGGGTGGGGTGGGGGATGGCCAGTACCTGGACCATGGGCTGGGGTGCCCACCGTCCTAGACCACCATGGCCAGCATGAAACACTGAAGAGTCACAGCACTTGAAGGTTGAACAACCTTCCAACAGGGGGAATAGAACATAGTCTATTGAACCCTTTGTTAACTTGATTTATAAATAACTCTTAAAGGTACAGACATATGGGATGTGCGTCTCCATTTGTACTTATGCCAAGCCCTAAACACATTAGGGTCTGCATGAGTCAGGATTCTCCAGAGAAACAGAACCAACAGGATATATAGAGATTTATTATAAGGGATCGGCTCGTACACACACGCGCGCACGCACACACACAGGGTCTGAGGGGTTCAGAGAATAAAACGCAGGGCAGCAGAGTCCATAAAAGTCAAAATGCAGAATGCTGAGAGAACTCAGCAGCGACTATAAGAAATAAAATGTACCACAATAAAAAGTACTGGAAAAGAAAATTTGTGTAAACACTCCCTCCCTTCCTCCAATATAATGGGATTTCCCATCAAGCTTATGTTACTTACATTACAAAGGAAAGGGTGCCAAACTTACCAAATAATAAAAATGGGACCACGCCTTTTTGTTTTCAATTGGCAATAGTATCGCTCACTCAACAAACTAGAATGTATCACACAAAAAAGGGAAAATGTGTTGTATCTTTATTTAAAGGAAGCATGAACATCCAATCCAAAAGAAGAGAACATTATCTTAGGTTGTTTATAAGACACGCAGCTAAGACAAACTAACACTGAATTTTAAAGGTAACTGATCATACGTTCCTGAACAGTCAGGCAACTCTGGAAGAGTCATAAAGGGGAGCTGGTCTTGCAACTATTAAAGCACATAATAAAGATGCAGTAACGAAAAATATTTGAACAGAACAGAAAGGGTTCCAAATAGGTATGAGAACTGGCTTGTGAAACAGCTGGCACTTCAAATCTGTGAAGATTCGATAAGTACTAACAGGATAACGAGTTAGCCATATGGGATGTTTTTTCATTGAGCCTTTACCACATTCCTTAAAAATCCAAAGATTTAAAATGCAGGGAGCCTAGTTAGCTCAGGTGGTGCGAGCGCAGGCTCATACCACCAAGGTTGCTGGTTTGATTCCCACATAGGCCAGTGAGCTGTGCCCTCCACAACTAGATTGAAAACAACAACTTGGCTTGGAGCTGATGGGTCCTGGAAAAACACACCATTCCCCAATAAAGGTTTTTTAAAAAAATCTAAATCAAAGATTGAAACATAAAACACAAACACATAAAAGTTGTAGGGCAGGAGAAAACATGGGGAGGTTTCCATCCACAGAGGACTGGGGGACACAGGTAAGGTCTTCCATCCACTGGAAGAAAGAATGCAGCCATTAAAAGAAAGACGCGGATCTGAATGTGTTGGTGTTGAACAGTCACGCGAACTAAAAATTAATCAAACTAGAACTGACGCGTAGATTCAGTCATTTCTTTGGGAAAAGACAGGAGGTGCGTATACACGTTTGTATGTACACAAAGGGTTATAACAACATAGAACTCAAGAAAACACCATTTAATGGGATGAAGACTGGCATTTTATACCCCATAAAAGGTCCAACTGAAAATTAAATCGTGGGCATTTACGAGGCCAGACAATTAAGTGCGTGAACTCATCCTAGAAGAAGTGCTACATACCTCACTGCTGAATATCACTACGGTCACCTTAAAAGCACTCCCCTTGGGAAGCTATGCACTGATGCCAGTGCCTAGTCCACCCTTCAAAGCAAATTTGAAACTTTTTTTGGAATGGCCATCAGAGCTGTCATCATATTATTACCCTTGATGTCCTGAATGTCATCAAAATGTCTTCCTTTCAATATTTCCTTTATCTTTGGGTAAAAAAAGAAGTCATTAGAAGCCAGATCAGGTGAGTAGGGAGGGTGTTCCAATACAGTTATTTGTTTACTGGCAAAAAACTCATTCACAGACAGTGCCGTGTGAACTGGTGCGTTGTCGTGATGCAAGAGCCATGAATTGTTGGGGAAAAGTTCAGGTGGTCTAACTGCTTCACGCAGCCTTTTCAGCACCTCCAAATAGCAAACTTGGTTAAGTGTTTGTCCAGTTGGTACAAATTCAAAATGAATAATCCCTCTGATATAAAAAGTTAGCAACATTGTTGCAACAAGTTTGCAAACTTAATTGATACACCTCATATACAAGGACCCATGCGGAATTAGAAATTCCCAGAAAAATTAACCAAATCAGAATCATAGTGGGAGATAATCGCCTCAAACACGTGTGAGATCAAGTAGAAACAAGAAACTATAATACCAAGGATTGGAATAATGGCCAAGACGTTTAAAGGTACCGATGGCTTTGTAACTTTTGACGTGCAAGAAATGTGCCCATTTCTTTGCCTAAACCAAGTGGAATCCCACTCAAGTCTGTTCTCACTGGAGCTGGCTTCCTGGGTGGGACCAGGGCTACTCTGGGTGAGGTCTCTGCTCTACTGATCACCCGGTGGCCCTGAGAAGCTGCTGACACCTGTGCAATCATGCAGATGGGGGCATCCTTCCCCTCCCTGGTCAAGCTCACACGTAATTTGTCTCATTCCAGAAAGTGCAACTTGGCATCCTTAGCAGCCAGGGTTGTTTCCAGCCACCCCACCGTGGGCCCTCTCACCTGAAGGATTGAGACCCTGGCACCCATGGGACCCTCCTCTCCTAGAACAAAACACGCGGGGCTCCCTCTACAAGGAAAGCATCCCAGAACTCAAACACGCAAGGCTTGGTGGATCTGACTTGGTCAAAGGAGGAAGGCTGGTGCTTCTAGAATTATTGCTTCATGGTTTTTTTAATTTGTCCACAGTAGCAAAAAAGCCACCCAATTTCTGTGTAATTCACTGTCACCTAAGCTTGTGGAACAGGTATAAATTTCAGTCTACAAACTCAGGTAGGAAAGAAAGATAACCTTATTTTTTCTATTCTAATTAAGAATTCTAAAATTCTATTATGAAATGTGAACTTTTTTTTTGGGTGGGGGGGTCCCTTCTCCAACTTTTCCCAGGAAAAAGACTCCTTGTTTGGTGTGTGTGCGCACGCAAGTGTGTGTGTGAGGTCTTCAAAGCAGAAAATTTACAGTGACTGCTGAAAAGAGAGATAAAATAAAATTGAAAACAAATGAAATCAACTCTTGGGCCCAAGAGGTAAAAGCAACAACAAATAAACTGTTTACAAAACAGGAACCACAAGACTGTATCATTTCAACGCCTACTGGACGCAGCCAAAAACTTGAGGTTAGGGGCTAACGCTCTGACCCAACAGCCTTTGATTACGATGGCTATAGTGATGTAGACGTTAATAAAGACATACTCCCTTCATTTTGGACTCCAGGGAAGTGCAGTGGGACACAGAAATCACACACAGAAGCACACAACACCAAGCGACATGGAAGAGGTTTATGTGAGAACCTAAACCCAGCCCCGCTGCAGCTGGGGACCTCACTCCAATCTGACAGCAAGAATGGCCTCCCTTGCAACTGGAGAGGCTCAGCTGTAGCTCGCATTTTCCAGGCACAGCCATTTCCTCCCACTCCCAAGCAGTCCCTCTGTAGGGGGGCCAGCTGTTCGCACCTACACAAACGTCCATATGTTGTTCTCAGAACTTGTCTCGGAAGCACTTTACATTATACCTAGCAGTTTATCTGAGCCCAGTGGAACCACACAAGCATTTGTATCTTTCATTTCACGCCAATGACTTTTTTCTTCACAACACAGCACAGTGGGTTCTCTCTCATTTGTTACACTCATCGTTTTCTATTTGTCCCAGTGATCTACCACTGTTCTGAACGCTTAAGCGCCCCTTTGCCCAGCGTTCCTGCACAATAACTGCGAGTGGCTAACTCAGATGGCTTTCCTCCACGAGCGCTCTTTATCCAGGAGTCACAGATTTAATGCAAGCGCTCCTTCCCCGGGAAATGCATATACCCATGTATACACAATATTCTGCACACAACTGAAGACGGTTCTAGACCTCTCTGAAACTCATCTAGGGTCTTAGGTTTAAAACCTCCCCAAACACAACACTCCCACCATATTCAAGACGCAGAGAAGACCTGGGCCAGGGATGGGGCCCGCACAAAGGAACAGGGGAATCTCTGAGGGGACTTGTCATTTATCCTGCCTGGGCTGTGACCCGGGCCAGGTTGTCCTCACAACTCGGTTTGCTGGGACAGTCCCCACTTAGGCCTGCTGACTTCATATAACAGCACCCTCCCCCTTTATACTATGTGCCCAGCGTGGACCAGGAGTTATGTTTTTACCCCAGCATAACGCACAAGCCAGCCCCACCACACACACACACACAATGACCACTGAATCCACACAACTACTATCAAGCACAGAACCCTGTTATAAAGTGATTTTATTAAATTGATTTGGACATACTGTAGGTCAAATAATATTTTCCGAAGATAACAATTATGGACTTTAAAGCTCGACATAAAATTAGTAGCTTTAAAAGTGTTAGTCATATTCCCCAGCAACAGCATGATAAAATAATTCAACTATGTAGAAATATAGAACTCTAGGACTAGCTGGAAACTCGGAAATCGTTTAGCCTAATATCCTCATTTTGTAAGTGAGAAAACTAGACTCAAAGGTTAAGTGATTTGCCCAAGCTCACATACCTAATAAAGCTAGAAATCAAACCAATTTTTCCTAACACTAAAATTCTATCAATGATATTTCAACTGGCTCTCTATCATAAACTAAAAGTCTAGGCTTTTCTCTAACGCTTCACGCTACTGTGACATGAGTGATAAGACACTACAGTAAATCGTAGTCGAGGAATTCAGGCCTGGAAGGGGCTTTGGCCGATAGCTGAGCCGCCCTCTCTGTGAAAAGGAGGGAATGTGAGAAGTGGCCCCCGGAGGCTTGTTCACAGAGGGATCTGGATTCAAGTCCAGATGGTGACTAGTCAGCCCCAAGTCCTGTCTCTAGCTTCACAGCCCGCCCACAAAATAATGTGCTCCTTTAAATCTTTATGCGCTGAGGTCTTACACAAAAACCCCTTCCAGTCACACAGAATTAAGTAATTCAAATGTGGGGAGAAAAATCAAGCTTTGTTTCAGTATTTCCATGACTTATTTTGGGTAGTTCATTTCCAACCTGACAGCTGACAGACACCACTGTCATCATCACCCATTTCAGAGTTTCAAAGGTCCTTAATTTCCCCAAAGACTTCCTGAGCAAAAGGACATGTGGGAAATCAATGAAAACAGGAATGAGAAGAGAAACAAAGTTAAAAATTAGTTGCTTTTTGTTCTTGTCATTGGGGACTTTCGGTCTTCTAAACATTCCTTGAGTTCCTCCACATGAGTTTTTAATATCAATCTAGCCCAAAAAAAACCCAAACAAAAACAAAACCACTACGCTCCACGCCCGCCGCCTTTCTGGCCCGCCACGCGCGGCAGCTCTGCCCACCGCGGCACCTGCGCTCTGCCTGCGGGGGCTCCTGGTCCCCGTTCCAGTGCCACCCCTCCGAAAGGCCTTGCCTGACCACTATCTAATGTTGCCCCACCCCCACCCCACCCCACCCCTCTAAATCATCACCCTAGTTTATTTTCTTCATAGCACTTAACCACTACCTCAAACTACGTTATTTATTTGTTGCCTTGCTTAGCGTCTGTCTCCCCCACCAGAAGTAGACTCCATGAGCAGGGCCCTTGTCTGTCTGATTCAGTGGCATATTCCCAGCAGCCAGCACAGTGCCTGGCACGTAGGAGGTGTTCAATAAATACTTGTCGAATGAATGATTAAAGGTCAATTAGCATGAACATTCATGCCTAAAAAGGAACTGATACAGAATCCTCGAAGAAGGGGTATCGAGGACTCCTATTGGTTATTGCCCAAAATTACAGGAAAGGAGGCTAAATGCTGCTCGGCTCCTACCTCCCACTTCTACGGTCTCCCCTAGCCAGCACACAGCTCCCCGTTACAGAAGGGGCTGGAGAGGGCAAGCTGGATGGAGAAAAGTTGTAACTTTGCTTGCTTCTTCCTCCCTGCTATTTACATTCAGCTAATTCCAAAAAAATTCAAGTTAAAACTATGTGATGCAGCCACTAGAAAAGTCTAACAGAGACGCAGTGATTAGCAGAATCCACAAAGTTAAAACTAAAAAGTTCAAGGGCACGTATGTGTAATGATTTCTCGGATAGGCCAAGTGAATGGAAATTATGAGTCACCTAAAATCTAAAATGAAATTGAATGCCATCTAGGAAGGGGTGGATATTTACGGGTGTTTTGAGGATAGGAAAAAGTAGGTTCAGAAGTAACAAGAGCTATGGGCAGACATGGAGGGGCTGAGTCAAGGGGAACCTCAGAAATACCAGAACCAATCTCTGTGGGAGCTGTCCGTTTTCAAGGGCAGTAATCGGTATGCTCGAATCCAAAGGGGGCTGTGAGCTCCCGAGGGGGAGCACCTGGGTAACTGTTGGGGAAAGCGTCAACAGGTGACACGGGAGGCTGGGCAAGTATCATGGTTTCCTGCACAGTATCTCAACTTGCGAGGCATCTGGCCGAATCCCAGGAAACACCCCCCCCCCATTTCCATGGATGGGAAATGCTGGGACCTCACAGCCTATCTCGGGCAGACACCAGTGGGATTCCAGATTCAAAGTCAAGTTGTGGAACACACTTGGCATGAATCAGAAAAATCAACCTCACATATGCCTCTTCAAAAAGAATGTTCTGCTGGGGCTTGCTGTAAAAATTTTTTGGGTCAATGCAGGTATTTATAGGGTTTCCTTCCTAGTGGCACTTATGGGTTTTAAGATTTTTAACTCTTAGCAAGATGCTTTATATAACTGATATTTTGAGATGGTTTCTCTCCTTTGTGTGCACTCTCTGATGGATGCAGAGGCTGGGGCTCTGGCTGAAGGCCTTCCCACACTCATCGCATTTAAAAGGCTTCTCTCCTGTGTGAACTCGCTGATGGATACAGAGGCTGGAGCTCTGGCTGAAAGCCTTCCCACACCCACAACATCTATAGGGCTTCTCCCCGGTGTGCACTCTCTGATGGATGCAGAGGCTGGAGCCCTGGCTGAAGGCCTTCCCACACTCGTAACATTTATAGGGTTTCTCTCCGGTGTGGACTCTCTGATGCATGCAGAGGCTGGAAGTGTGCCTGAAGGCCTTCCCACACTCTTCACATTTAAAGGGTTTCTCTCCGGTGTGGACTCTCTGATGCATGCAGAGGTTTGAACTATTACTAAAGCCCCTTCCACACTCGCTACAGACATAGGGTTTCTCACCTGTGTGAACTCTCATGTGAATTTGAAGATGTGAGCTCCAATTGAAGGCTTTGCCACACTCATAGCATTTATAGGGCTTTTCCACTGTGTGGATTTTCTTATGTCTGTTAAGTTTTGTTGTAGTACTAAAATCCTTACCACAATCATCACATTTATAGACCTTCTCTCCTGTGTGGTCTCTCCAATGAATGTGAAGCTCTGATATGTGAAAGAAACCCTTATCACACTTGTCACACTTATGGGGCTTCTCAGCAGTGTGAATTTTCTGATGCATAAAAAGATCTGCTCTCTCAGAGAAAAATTCCCTACACATGGGGCACTTGTAGATCATTTTTCCTATTTGGTATCGTGACTTAGAGGAGAAAATTTCCTTACAACTACTATAGTTACAGGGCTGCTATTTCATCGAGTCTCTTATTTGGCCATTTTGGCAGTTTATCTCAGGCTTGCTCTGTTCGGTAGGTTTAAGGTCGGCCTAAGCTTTTCCCTGCCTGTCTTTCTATGGAAGGCTTCTTCCTGCATAGTGTTCCTCACTCAGTACGGTTATTGATTATAAAGTGACATTTACTTCCACGTGAATTCTGTAACTCATTAACACAGAACTTCCTTTCAGGTCCTGAGTTGTCAACATTCCAAGGGGCTCCCAAGGGGCAAACCTTTGCGTTTTTAAGCCCCTGGAATCTTCTGCCTGGAGAACAGTCTTGGCTGTCTCACTTCTAGAGAAAGGACGGCACGGTGTCCCTTGTCGGAGAGGGCGAGATACTGCGCACTGGTCTTGATCCCCCGTAGGCTCCCCTTGAAGAGTCAGTGTGACGTTCTGCCTCCTACACATCAGATAGGAGCCCTCCCAGGAAGCAAGCTCCTTGGGTTCTGAGTACGTCACCTTCCTTCTGAGGAGCCCCTACAGAGGTATCCCTTGTCTCCTGTAACAGAAACAGAAATAAATACACTGAAAATGCCTTTCTGTCCAGAAAATTGCTCTTGATGCCATAATTAATTTCATGTAAATGTGACAGCAGCAACACAGACCTTTTCTGATCTTGAGAAAGAAGCTCTCTTATCTTCCAGAGAGAGGTGTCTCTTGGATTTGCAGGTCTGAAGAAGAGAATTTGTAGGTATCATGCTCCTGTCCACAGCCCAAGTACATAATCCAATTACAACCACTTATTGTAATTATCTGAACATCAAGGGATGCTACTGAAAAGAAATCCTCAGACGCCCTACAGTGAGTACTAGCAGCAGCTGTCCTGAATAAAGGAGCAAGACGGAAAACTACCTCCACCTTGAATTTCAGAAGAGACAGTGTTGCTGCTTTTGGAGCTCAGCATCATATTTGAATAGCCTTCCAAACTATAGAAAGAATAAATACACGACCTATCGGTATCAGATGTCATTCCCTTGCTTAAATGTCCTCCATGGTTTCCTGAAACACTTAAAATACAATCCTAATCCTTAACCTAAAACTTGAGGTCCTGCCATGACCTTGCCCCACTGTCCTTTCTGTTCCAGTTCTCAGATGCCCCAAGCTGGTGCCTGCCTCGGGGCCATTGTACACGCTGTTTCCTGGGCCTGAAATGACCCCTTCCCCACCTCTGCATGGCCTGGTGTGTCAGCTGCCCCTCCCTCACCTAAAGGCAGCCCCTGGCTAAGACTGTTTTTATCTCAGATTTGATTCTTTCAAAGCACACAGAACTTGTAATTATCTGATTGTTCCTTGGTTTTTGACCTGTCTCCTGTACTAGGGTGTAAATGCCAAGAGGGAGGAACTCCATGTGTTGCTGTTCTATTCAGAGCAGGGGGTGTTCAGTTAACATCTGTGGATCGCATCTCTAGCTCACTTTATGACACCGTCTCTGCCCCCACAGGCATCGCCTGGTATAGCAGATAAAAATGCATTTCCCAGCGCCTTATTACCAGTCTCTTGACAACCAGCATGGAAAAAAATATATGACAAACAGAATGAGAAGCAAATAGAAGAAAATAAATCCCAAATTATTCAATCTGAAATCTTTTGAGGTTTAGGACCATGCCATGTCTTAGCAATCTTTTCATCTTCTACATTCAATACTCAGTAAGTGACACTTCAATTAAGTAAAGGAAATTAATAGATCTTAAAATCACACTTCCAATAATATGTTCCATACAAAGATGGGGTACATGGGTGCTTGAGGAGATTTAACATTAAAATGGCAAAATAAATTGTGTTGCTTCTAGGTGGAAATGTTAATAAAATTCAACTAAATAACCAAAGTTTTAGGAAAAATACAGTCAATGTCTAGAAAAAGTATACATGCATCTATCCTTTGACTGAGTAATCACACTTCTAGAGGTTAATCCCAGACAGACTGGCAAAGACAGGAACTGAGTGCTGTCTCAGGCTAGTCACCGAGGCAGCCCCAGGCCCAGCACCAGGGACCTGGCTGACCGACCGCCCATGGTCCCTGAGACAATGAGACCTGCCCAGGCATTTCACAACAGGAATGGTGAGGAGCACTATGCGCCAGTGTGGGGCAAACCCAGGGCACAGTGTTTAGCAAAAAAAGCAAGGCACAGAATAGTCTATAAACTGTGCTATGTTTTGTGCAAAAAAGGAAGGGAACGTGAATGTATTTATGTATTTGTTTATCGTATGATGGATAAAATAAGCATGGAGAAGGATAATACAAACTGAATTTAAATGGTCATCTATGGGGGAGGAAAGAGAAAGGGAGGGATGAAGTAAACCTTCTCTGGATGTACCCTGTTAGGTTGATTTGACTTTGGAAACACAAATGTTTAAATACTCAAAAAATAAAATTAAACAAAAAGGAAAAACAATCCCTAAAATTGTAAAGCAAAATGTAGAGAAGAACCTTAACTTTCAAGTTGGTGACATATCCACAAATGTACATCCTTAGAGGGACATATTCTGTTGACAAATAAAGCTGCAAAGAAATCACACTTCTTCCCTAGTTTAACTATTAGTTGTAAGGACACTGGTGTTTTTATAAAATACGATAATGCCAATAAGTATTTATGATAATGTTGTCAGGAACCAAGACTCGGTGTAAGAGAAATGAGACACAAATATAAAATCGGCTAAGGAAAAAATCCTGTAACATAAAATTTAATTCACGAGTATCAGTTTGAACCACGTCTTTGTTCTAGGTCTGTCCATCGAAACAGGCCTGGAAGCACTGATGACCGACAGCTACGGTCCCTTCCTCAAGTTCCCTCTGCACCAAATGGCACAGGGGTCCCTGGAGAACAGCTGGTTACAATGCCAGAGCAGCACTTTATAAAACGAGTCTGGGACATCTTGCTATCAGAGTGCGGGAGAGTCATGCCAAAGGAACACTTTATGGAGGAGACTCCCACTGGCCCCAAATGGGACAACTGAACATCAAAAGAAATGGTGAACACACTCTATTGAAACACAGCAAAATACAAAACCCCGTGAGTTCACAGTGATTAAGGGAGTCGGGAGAAACGAAGGGACAGACAGAGGGAGACAGACAGACAGACTCAAGGCACTAGACGAAATGAGAACTAGGACACAAACTTTTCACCTTTGTTGAAAATTGGCAATTAAGAAGAAAGAATTAAACATCTTTCCTCTATGAACTATCTTTCAAGATATCGCAGCAACCTGGCTAATACATGTGTAGCCTAATGAAATACCAGACCCAGGCCACAATAAGGAGCGGGTGAAAACAGGTGAAAGTGACCGGGAACTTTTCACTGCGAGGGTCAGGCTGTCATCCCTGCACTCACCGATGGATTGATCTTAGCATAACTCTGAGCAACTATCAGCCCTGGCGTGCCTCCCGACGTGGTAACACACAGCAGTAGGAAACACACAGCAGCACCCTGAAACATTCCTGCAAAAGCCTGTACCAGAATTGGATCAAGCCTCTAGAGCTCATTTTTATTTGGAGGAGCCAAGAAGGACAGAGGAACTACCAGGATGCAAGCAGAAAAAGACCTAAATGTGAGCCACTCCTAAGACAACAGCCCATTACTGCAACAAGTCCATGGCACGGAGAAGAGGAGTGAGGCACTGCTTGGAATGAAAGCGACTTGAGACAGAACAATCAAATATAACGTGAGGACCTTCTTTGGAATCTGATTCAAATAAGTGAGCTGCCAAAAGGAGACAGCTGCGGAAACAGGATTAGGGACTGGGTATCAGATCATACAAGGAATACAGTTAATTGTGTTATGCCACTGCAGTTATGGAAACTGGCTGATGCCTGTATTTTTAGAGATGTATACTAAAGTTTGTAGGAATGAAATGACATGTCTGAGATGTGTCTTAAGATGCTTTGGCAAAGGACAGATAAAGCAAATGTGGCAAAATTGTTGTAACTGTTGAATCTAGGTGATGGATAAATGATGAAGAAAACATTTTCTACCTTTATGCATGTTTGAAATTTTCATAAGACACTGGTTCATGGTGAGGAGACACTGTTTTCCTGTCCCTCCTGCAGTGACAAACTGACCCCAGAACAGGCCCACCACACAGAAGTGACACTGAGCTAAATAAATACAACCCCCAAATGGCTGTGACTTCCCCAGTCAATCGGGCAGGGCAAGGGAGACGTGTGCACTGCAGATGTCACTGTGGAGCAGAGAGACGGTTTCAGGGCAGTGACAAGCAGAGGACACAGGGACGGTGCTGCACTCTGCTCTGCCTTCCCCACAAACTCCCTGAGACACCCGCGGTTCTCCCGCACCCTCACTTGGAAATGAAGCAGTAAGGGAAGGGGCATCGTCTAGACTGGTCTCAGGAGAGGCTGATGCTGCTCAGAAGGGTGATAACTCAACACCAATTCAGTGACATGAAATCCCTGCCTTTGTCCTACATAAACTCCTGCCAGTTTCTCTGGAGGAATGAGACCCTGGCATTCCTTCCAGGTGAAATGCTTGGACACATCTGTAAGTCTCACACACAGTGTGGGGCAGGAGGGTAAGCTCTATTCTGCAGGAAAAAGAAAAAAAAAAGATATAGTACAAGAAACACCAGCAAACCTTCCATGTGACTAAGCAAAGAACACCAGAAGGACAGACAAGAACAAAAACGATCCCCGCTGCAGACTTTCCTGAGATAGCACCAGCTCACTGCTTCCCTTCACGTGAAGGAGAGAAAATGAAGGGAGCAGATCCGACCACGAGTCCTACAGATCCCAAATGCAGTGCTCCCAGGTGCCCTCACCCAGACATGTTTCATAGCCAACGTCCCATAAGGGCATTCAAGGGGACAGCCCATATGAGCGTGAGACCACCTGCGTGACCTGAGGAGGAAGGAGCCCTGCACTGAGGCCACCACACGCTGCCAAGGACGACACGCAATCTGTCTGGTGAGACCTCAGGGACACCCCCAGCAGCCCATGCATTCAACCTACATCTGAGGACTTCTGGGACAGGAAGGCTGGAGTTCGGCTGAGAATTG